TTCCCGTCCAACGTAGTGTGGGCAAGGTCTCTGGCAAAGAGACACGGGGCCAGAGGTTGAGCTGATGCGCAGCGTATCGGACCGCAAATGGCCACAGAAAATGGGGAGCAGCCGCATGGATCACGGAGGTACGAGTAACCTCCATGATCAAGCCAATGCGACGCTCAGCAATCCCATTCTGCTGCGGAGAGGCCGGAAGCGTGAACAACTGGACGATGCCCTCGTCTCGACAGAACTCCGCAAGGAGGCCGGAAGAGAACTCACCGCCCCTGTCAGAGTGCAGACGCAGGACTGAAAGGTCCCGCCGAAACCGCTCGCGCAACTGGCGACGAGTAGCGCGGATCTAGGGGATCAATACACCGCGGACGTCCGCCTTGCTCCGCAAGGGGAAGACCGTGGTGTAGCGTGTGTAGTCGTCAACAACCAGTAGGAAGTAGCGCTCCTGGTCCGTCCCACGGACAGGGGCCGGGCCCCATACGTCCATGTGGAGAGTCTGCAGAGGAGCTGTGGTCGGAGGAAACGAGGAGGAGTGAGGAGCGGCGCGCTGCCGCCCCTCGACGCAGGGAAGGCACGTCGGGGCAATCGAGCGCGGGAGGGGGGGCAGGGACCTGGGAAGGCCAGAGACAAGGAGACGGGAGTGCATGCTGCGTAGACGCGGCAGAGAGGGGTGACCGAGTTGGTGGTGCCAGAGGAGAGTCAGGTGGGAGAGTACCCGACACGAGCACGATGCAGCTAACTGACCAGACGCAGACGCCTGCCTCGACGCAGCCACCTGACCTGACGCAGCCACCTGTGCAGACGAAGTGGTCAGGGTGTACAGACTGGACCCAGGCTGCCGAGTGAACGTAGCAAGGTGACGGCCAGTCCGGGAGCACGTACAGATCGCCACACGCTGCCCTCCAGGGGTAAAGGTATCTACCCATACATCCTGAAGGACTGCGTTGCTCACCAAGTTCGTCGAGGACGAGGGGAGGTGGAGACCTGAAAGAGAGCCGGAGGGGACCGCCGGACATGGGAGGACAGTGGAGGCTCGTGCGACGACGGGGCCCCCAGAGGGGTCAACCAGCGAGACTGGGACAGGTGCAGCGAGTGGTGTGACTATGGTGCAATCACGAAAGAAGCAACGAGACGCACCAGAGTCAAGTGTGAAAGTGTGCAGGGCATCAGCTGAGGCAGCAGACTCACTAGCACCTGTGGCAGCATACGCACTAGCACCTAGAGCGGCAGCAGACTCACTAGCACCTAGAGCAGCTTTACCTACACCAGCAGCGCAAGGCACACACGAGTAACAGGCACCCTCAGCACTAATAGCATCAACATACATAGCATATATAGCCTTGTTGATATGAACAAAGTCAAGAGCAAACACATCCACATCCTTCGCTATCAGTTGCAGCCAAATGGGGACCTCCTGCTCATCACCATACTCAGTCACCCAGGCATCCTCGAGATGACCGAAACAGCGATACTCAGTGTGCCCAGGCCTCCCGCAGGTCTGACCCTTCTTGGGCCCCGTGTGCCTGACATACGAGCTGCGAACAGAGCCCCCAGGGGAACCACGCTGGACAACCCACTCACGAAGCTGCTAAGGGGTGGGTCCGTCTGGGAGTCGTGGCAGCTGTTGTCCACTCCCATAGCCTCCGCCGCCACGAGCTGAACCCCCATAGCCTCCACCCCTGCCAGCTCCACCCCGACCGCCTCCACCACCCCCGCCGCCTCCACCACCCCCGCCACCTCCACCAATCCCTCCACCTCCACTGCCTCCACCTCCGGTGCCACCTCCAGCGCCTCCGCCCCCGCCACCACCACCCCTGCTACCACCACCGCTAGTGCCACCCCCACCACTCTTACCCCCCTTGCCCTTGCCGCTGCGGCGCTTCCCACTAGGAGCAGACGCATCGCCGACTTCCTTAGCACCAAGGAGGTCGACAGCAGCAGCAGAGGCAACTGAGGGTATGAGAGGGGAGGGAGCACACCCTTCAAAATAGGGGGAGCTGGGAGTGCCACGAGAGGCAGCGACAGCGACAGTACTGGTTTCAGCCTCAAGAATGTACTTCTCCAGCAAGGCAAGCGTGAGCTCAGTGGGATCAAGGGCGAGGAAGTGGTCCCAAACTGTGCAGAGGGAGTCAGGAAGCGATTGACAAGGAAGTACAGGGTGATATAAAGCGGGGATGGGGTGGGGGGGGGGGGGGGGGGGTTCTCAGTGAGGAAGGCCGGCTTGAAAGCGGCGCGGTAGCGAGTCTCACTAGAGCGAAGGTGGGTCATGAGATCAGCAACGGTGTGGAAATCTGCGAGCTCAGGAAAGAGGTACGGCAGCATGAGACGGCCTAGGGCAGCAGTAGCTTGGGAGGAGTAACGAGCGACAACGCCGTCATAGAGGTCTTTGGCTGTCTTCTGCTGGCCAAAATGTGCCCTCTCAGCAAGCGGAAGGTGGTTGTGGACAGCAAGGCGGGCAGTAGCGTCACGCGTGAGCCACTTCGAATGATCTAAGCGGTCGGCTGTATCAGCTGGGGCGAGGAGGGATCCGGACGTATGTTCTATCAATGAAACTCCATCCCTAGCTTCGCTCTGCAGATACAGCTGGAGATCGTCCAGCCAGACGTCAAAGCTAAACGGGCGACCCTCCGCATCAAAGCTAAGAACCGAAATGGTGGCCATAGTAGCAGTAGCAGCAGCAGCAGCAGCAGCAGCAGCAGCAGCAGCAGCAGCAGCAGCAGGGCAATGCGGCTCGGTAGGGGCAGGGCAGCGCGGCTCGGGCAGGGCGGCGCGGCTCGGGCTGGGCGGCGCGGCTCGGCAGGGCGGCGCGGCTCGGCAGGGCGGCGCGGCTCGGGCTGGGCAGCGCGGCTCGGCAGGGCACAGCGCAGCAGCGCGTGTGGCAGCAGCAGCTCAGGCGCAGCAGCGCGTTTGGCAGCAGCTGCGCAGCAGCAGCAGCGCATGCAGCAGCAGCAGCAGCAGCAGCAGCGCGTGCGGGTAGGGGCGCTCGCGGGCAGGCAGCGCGCGCGCAGGCAGGGGGGGGGCTCGCGCGGGTAGGGGCGCGGGCAGGCAGCGCTAGCGCGGGCAGACAGCGCGTGCGGGCAGGCAGCGCTCGCGGGCAAGGGGCGCGAGCGGGCAGGCAGCGCATGCGCGGGCAGGCAGCTCGCGGGCAGGCAGCGCTCGTGGGCAGGCGGCGCTAGCAGGCAGGTAGCGCGCGCGCGGGCAGGCAGCTCGCGCGGGCGATAGGCAGCGCGCGTGCGGGCACAAAGCGCGCGTGCAGTAGGCAGTGCGCTAGGGCAGGCAGCGCGCGTGGCAGCAGGGCAGCACGACGCTGGGGCAGCGCAAGGGTGCTTCGGGCAGGGTCGAGCGGAACGATCGGTGGGCCCTAAAAAAATCTAACCATTAACCTGCTATGAAACCATGTTGACTGTGCAGGAATAGGGTTGGACTAGAAACAATGAGATACAAGTATGGAACCCTAACTGGGGTTGTATTCTATACTGAGCACCTCGCTGTAGCCTAGCAGAACTAACAACATATAAATATGTTTTGACACATAAAACAACCCAAAATATAAGTCACTTTGCCGCATAAGAGTCCCGGGGGACTGCCTTACTTGCAGGTCTTATATACGGAGGAATATGGTAGGAGGGCCTTGGTTCTACGCGATGTACCAGTAGTGTGAACCTAGTAAAAAATGGAAGACTCCTCACATCCACTTTGAATTAGAGCAATGTAATATTTTTTCGTGTTGCTACCGTATGTTGTTTTTAGGAACCTGGACTATGAACCAGAACCAGTCGAGGACCCTGCTGTCACATTTAGAGCTTCCAAGTAGAGTCGTTTCACATTGATATTGTGCTAAAAGACTACCATATATCTTCCAATATAACTGTCATTAGCATGCGCCCGCAGTGTAGCAACACCTCACCTCCCCTTTCTCCTCATTCATTATAATCACTTTCCCTTTCAGTCCCAAACGAGGCATCAAGACAGTGGCACCGATAGCAGGACCTTTCTCTTGTTTCCCTTGTTTCTGTTGCTGCTGTGCGGAAGAAGCCACACTTCTGTTAACTGCCAGTATTAGGGGGAAAGCATACAATTGGATAAGGGGGTTGGTTGGAAAGCAGCAGTACATCGAGGAAATGGCAAGCAGGAGGATTGGGAAAAAGAGTCAATTAAAATGGAGATGGAGGATGGGAAGGAAGAGTAGTGAGGGATGGAGCGAGGGAATGACTGTAAGCGAAAATGAGGGAATCCGAGATACTTATCCCCCCTTCTCCCTTCCCCCTCTCCTCTCCCAACTCCCTCTCCCATCGTTTGAAGCGCCTCAAGGCGACTCAAAGAAAACACATTCCTTGGAGAAAGCTTCTTCCAGACAAATCATTCTCTATGCTCCACCCAGTAGCTCCTCTCACCTTCTCCCTCCCCCCTCACCTCCTCACAGCTCCCTCACCCATTGTTTGAGGCGCCTCAAAGGAAAACCTTTGGAAAGTCAGCTTCTAGACAAACCATTCTCTATGCTCCCAGAGCCTCCTCTCACCTTCTCCCCCCCACCCTCTGCCCATCAATGCAGCCCCTTCAAACAGAGCTGGCTCTTCTTCCTCTCTCACCTTGCGATGCTCCCGCATGCTCCCACAAACATACATCCACCCATATGCACCCATGCACCCACATACACCCACATGCACCCGCATGCACCCGCATGCACCCGCATGCATCCATGCATCTATAAGTGGCCCCATTCACGTCCTCCTCTCATGCCCACCTCACCTTAGAAAGGAAGCAATAATATGCCCATATTTCTGATTCACCCACGTGGAAGCATGCATGTATGGGTGCCCCCCCCATCCATGTGCCCCCATCAATGTGCCCCCATCCATGTGCCCCCATCCATGTGCCCCCATCCATGTGCCCCCATCCATGTGCCCCCATCCATGTGCCCCCATCCATGTGCCCCCATCCATGTGTCCCCATCCATGTGTCCCCATCCATGTGCCCCCATCCATGAGTCCCTCCCCACCCACCTTCAAATTGAGGCAGTGGCATGCCAATCAAGCTCATCTCATACGCCCTCAAGCAACCATGCGAATCAAAGGGATACGTAGATAGAGGCGGTACGTGGGGAGAACCATGCCAAACGGTCATCATCAAGCTCAACTGAAGCGTTCTCGAACCGAGCGTCCCTGTGAGAGAAGGGGGACGAAGATGGGGAGGAGGGGAGGGGGAAAGGAAAGGGGGAAATACGCAGGTGGGGAAGGTCGGATGCCCCACACACAACACTCGTCGCAGGTGGGGTGCAAGAACTCGTCGTCGCACCTGCGCAGGTCGGATGCCCCGCACTCAACAGAGGCGCTTTCGAAACGAGCAGGAGGGGAAGGTGATGTGGAAGGGGAAGGGAAGGGAAGGGAAAGTGGAAGGGGAAGGGGAAGGGGAAGGGGAAGGGGAAGGGGAAGGGGAAGGGGAAGGGGAAGGGGAAGGGGAATGGGAAGGGGAAGGGGAAGGGGAAGGGGAAGGGGAAGGGGAAGGGGAAGGGGAAGGGGAAGGGGAAGGGGAAGGGGAAGGGGAAGGGGAAGGGAAAGGGGAAGGGGAAGGGGAAGGGGAAGGGGAAGGGGAAGGGAAAAGGGAAGGGGAAGGGGAAGGGGAAGCGGGAGGGAAGGGCAGGGTCTGCAAGTTATGCACACTAGTGCAGGCAGGGCAGTCCCTTCTAGGGGGTCTATCCATGCCCAATCCAAGCTGCAAGGAAGTTGATGGGGGGAGGGGGGAGAAGACGGTGGAGGGGGAGGGGAGTTGAGGGGAAGAAGGGGGGTTGGAGGGGGAAGAGGGGGGAGGTGAGGGTGAGGAGGTGGGAGGTGAGGGGAACGAGCGGGGAGACTGTTGCTGGCCGTTGCTGGGGACAGAAAAGATATGCATTATGGGAGCAAGGAAGCAGAAGGGGGGGAGGGTGGGAGAGCAGAGCAGAGCAGAGCACACGTGGCAACTTGCAAGAGTAGAGGGGTGTGGATTGAAAGGGAATGCATGACTGTTGCTTTGGCCAGACAAAGAAGACATGCATTATGGGAGCAAGGAAGTGGGTGGAGAGGAGAGGGGGGAGGGGGGGGGGGGGGGGGGGGGAGAGCAGAGCAGGCTCACCGTCCAGCAGCAACATTGAAAGGGCGCGGCGTGAGAGCTGGTAGAAGAAGGCCCGTGCAGGGCCTTTGAGACGCCGCGTGCCTTTGAGAAGCCGCGTGCCGCCCCCAAAATTGAAAGGAAGGCACGAATGTGCTGCGTGCGTGCTACTGTGTGTGGCCAAAAGAGTGAATCTAATTCTGACTTTTGAATACGGGACGCGGACGAGAGGGGAGAGCAGAGCAGCAGACGCACCTCATCCAGTGACACTGTAACGAGGTGGCTTTTGAGTAGGAGAGGAGGTCACTATTGAGTCGTCGACTCATCCAGTAGGACCTACCTCCTACTGGACGGGGGCCAAGGAGAAGGAGCAGAGCAGCAGACGCAGTGAAGTGACCTCTTCCAGCAGCACGAGCGAGCGAGGGGTGGCAGCTTCCAGGATGCTTCTGATCCGGACGAGGTGTGAGGAGGAGAAGGTGGAGAGGGAGTGCGTGGGTGAGTTACTGGGCGTTGCCGATGTCGGCCGGCACTAGGTAAAAAAGAGGCAGGCGGGCGGGTGACAAAGATGGGGTCAAGGGGGTTGGAGCAGACAGAAAGCAAGAGGAGAAGGTGGAGAGGGAGTGCGTGAGTGAGTTACTGGGCGTTGCCGATATCGGCCAGAATGAGGTTAAAGAAAGGGAGACGGGTGGGTGTTGAAGCCAGAACATAGATTCATGAAGTGTGGGACGGATGGAGGGCAACATGGGTTGGAGAGAAAGTGCGTGAGTGACTGCGCGTTGCTGTTGGCGTCCAGAAGCGAGGCTGAAGAGAGGGAAGCGGGCAAGAGATGATGCCTGGACGTAGATGTCTGGAGTGCGAGAGGTGGGGAGAGCAGGAGAGCATACAGAAGAGAGGAGAGGGTGGAGAGGAAGTGGGAAAGCGGGTGGGTGAGTGAATCAGTCACGAGGTCGCCCAATCAATCGCACACTCACTGTCACTTGAGGTCAAAGAGAGGTAGGTGGGTGGGCGGCCAGCCCAGCACTCACACTCACCGCATCCTTCCCTCCCACATGCACCCCATCGGGCCATGACATGAGTACTGCTCGACCAACTGCCTTGGTTGTGGGCTGACTTTTGAGTCGACTTAATATTTTTGAGTCGACTTTTGAGTCGACTCAAAAGCCATGAGTACTGCTCGACCAACTGCCTTGGTCGTGGGCCCTGCTACAGTCACCACCCTGCAGCAACCCCTCCCTCCCCTCCTCCCTGCCAAAGCACCCACACATGCTCTCCCCATTCTCACCACATTGGGCCGTCATCGCTGCCGACCCAACTGCCTTAATGGCAGAATGCTTGCCGCTGGTGTTGGTGTTGGGCCCCGTTACAGTCACCACGTAGTACCCGCTCCTTACTGTCACATCTATCGGCACTGGCACTGCTGCCTCTGCTCGTTCCACCTCCTCCTCCACCTTCCTCACTTCTCACTCTGCTTCCTGTAGCTGTGACACCCACCCCCCAACGGGTTCCTCCCCCACACCATTCACACGTGCAGCGGCTGCTGCTACCCCTCATCCCACTACTCTTTCTCCTTCTCTTGACGTCACTACTGCTGCTCCTGCTGCTGCTGCTGCTGCTGCTGGTCCATGCCGGTTTACATGCGTAGTCTGTTTGCCGCCCGCTTTGCCTTCTGCAGCATCTGATTGGCTCGTTTCTGGGCAGCGCGGTACTGCTGGAGGAGGAGCGGGTGGCGGAGGGAGCAGATGTCGAGGAGCGGAGTAGAGGGAACAGCTGACGTGGCAGAAGCAGCTGACATGGAAGGTGCTGACGTGGCTGGGACTGGTGAAGTGGCAGTGGCTGGTGACATGGCAAACTCGACTGACGTGGCAGCAGGAGAGGAAGGGGTTGTGTTGACTCCAATCGAGTCAGTTGGAGGGTTGAGGATGGGTCGAGTGGCACCCAGCCAGCTGTTGTAGCACGCTCTGGCTATGATCTGATGGCAGGTGGGGTGTGGGAGGAGAGCGGGGAGAGTGAGAAGAGCAGACGCGGGGATACGATGGCGTGGTGGTATTGAAGGTGCAACTCATAAAGACGGGCTTACAGGCATCGGGCAAGCTGTTGTAGGGTGCTCTGGCAACAAGTGCAACAAGTGCTCGCTCACAAGCTATCGCCTCACGCGGTTGTTTGTTGGTTGCCCATCCCCAACATGGTGTGTGTGTGTGCGTGTGCATGTGACTGCAGCATGTCGCCCACTCATGCTCATCCGCCGCCCCAGCACTCTTAGCGCATCACCCGCTAACAAGGCACTCAACCCACTGAGATACACCGTGCCCCCTCTCCTCCACCGCTATCGCCGCTGCTGTCCCGTCCAGCAGGCCCTCACAGTGCTCCTGTAACTGCATGCATTCCCATGCTGTCCCACCCGTCCAGCAGGCCCTCACAGTGCTCCTGTAACTGCATGTATTCCCATGCTGTCCCACCCGTCCAGCAGGCCCTCACAGTGCTCCTGTAACTCTGCATATCCCATCAGAAGGGTTTCCTCTGAGCGAGTTTCAGGGTGGGAGGGGAGGCCGTGTTTGAGATCCACCGCACCGCACCCCCTGCCCTCTCCTCCACCTCCATCGCTCGCTGCTGTTTCCTCCAACAGCCCCTCGCTGTGCTCCTGTAACTGCATGTATTCCCATAGAAGGGTTTCCTCTGAAGGAGGGCTAAATGGGCTAAGAGAGGGTGCTTTTGGGGGCCGCAGGGAGGGCAGCAGGTGGCGGGCGGATGAGGTGGAGGCGGAGGAGGGGAGGGTGGCGCAGAGGGCGGGCTAGTCGAGTGTTGCTGCGGTGTTTGAGGCGCCACAAAGGTCGTCAGGGAGGGCAGCAGGTGGCGGGCGGATAAGGTGGAGGCGGAGGAGGGGAGGGTGGCGCAGAGGGCGGGGTGGAGATCTGCTAGGGTCTCGCCTCTGGGTCTGTAGGAGGGGAAATGAAGGGACAAAAGAGGGGGAGGAAGGGGGGAAACTAGAGAAGACAAAGTTGCTGGGTTGGGATGGGACAGGAGAAGCGACGGGCGTTTGGGCTTTGGGGGGCTTTCAGTGTGGGTGTGGGTGGGCAAGAGGCATTCAGCCCAATGAGATCCCCCTCTCTCGCCTAGTTCCGCTGGTTAATCCCCCTCCCCTTCCCCCTACCCTTCCCCCTCCCGCTCCTCCCCCTCCACCTTCCGCACGCTGGCCTCTGTTCCGCCATGCTTGGATGGATTATTTTTCACAGCTTACCTTAATCGTCGTAGCTGTAGCCGTAACTCTCCGCGACCAGCTGTATCTCATTCGTCGCCCCCGACCTCATTCGTTAAACGAGAACGCGAACGGCTCCGATACAGCCCGCCTCGTTACTCGCCGTCGTTGTCGAATCTGCCGCGCCTGCACCGGCCCGAGACAGAATAAACGCGACTTACTCGATACATCAGCACCGTGAAACGTACGGGTGTAACACACTCGCTGAATACGCCTTAACGGCTGATCCTCGCGGGTATCTAGGTTCGAATCGGCCTGTGAATAGCCCACTGCTGCCGAATCGCCATTGAATGTTACTACGCGCGACGAGTTGGCTCGGCCGAACCTCCCGGCACGAAATTCCCGAGGCTGAGCAGCGCAACGAGACGTCAACTTCACCCGTGGAGTGAATGGCGTAAGCGGCGGAGTCGCTGCAGGAGAGCGCGATGCGACAGCCATCACAACTTATTCACGCCCACGAATCGAGGCCAATACTAACGCGTACTACCAGTTCATCATCAGTTGGGTAATACGCATGTAAACACCACTCCGGCGTGCGAGGCATGATGAAGGTCCTGAGAGAGTTTTGCTCAATTCCGCGGAATCGCGGTTTCTTTTATTATCGCCACGTGGCATGCCTTCGATCGCGGGAACCGCGATCTGTTTTATTGTTCCCATAAAGTTCAAGAGAATTTTAGATAAGTTTTGTACTGCGCTGCCCGCGGGCAAAAATAAAACCCATTCGGGCCTGGCATGCGTTAGGGAGACATCAACCCTAAACACCTTGCCTCTTGGTGTTTAGGGTTGAGGCATCCCTAACGCATGCCTGTCCTATAGGGGTTTTATTTTTGCCCGCGGGCAGGGCAGTACATGTGATCCACTAAGTCTAACTAGATTTCTCTTGAAATTTGTGGGAACAATAAAACAAATCGCGGTTCCCGCGATCATAGGCATGCCGCGTGGCGAAAATTAAACGAACCTCGATTCCGCGGAATTGAGCAAAAATCTCAGGTCCTGAGATAGTGTTGGAGAAAAGCACAACAAATAACCCTATTGACGACACTATTGACTCTCCTAGGATTTCGCATCGTTGTTCCCATGAAAGCAGTTTGTTGCATCCTTCAACCCGAATCCCAATCCGTCTCGTATGGAAACACGACCTTAGTATAATCTAACCAACGTGTTGCTGACGCTTTCTGAGGGGCCAAACCTCAGGAAGTTGCAACGCTCCGCCACAATGTAAAGCATACGGGATCTCACTGAAACCATCCGCACAGTCTTCCACCTCTTTCCAAAATTGTCACTAATTTTAATATGCTAGCCATATCCTAGAATGCCTAATCTTCACTTCAAATAGCAAATACCTTCACTTCAAAAATCAATGCCAATATACAGCAAAGAACTCTTAGGGGAAGTCATTTTGCACACACAGCAATGCATGTGCACCGCACCACACAATATGCTAAATTACACTATTATGGGAAGGGTTATGCAGCTCGTGCAATAACTTGCTCGACCTCTTCCTTCGTGTACAGATGGTATGTAGGTGCAACTTTTGCAATGTCGACATTAGTAGCCGACACCTGCAAGTAAAGAGCACATGGCCACAAAAAAGGCAAAACAAAAAGGCCATATGTCATTAGGAGTATGGAGAACACCAGGGACATGTACATCACCCATAAACACCCGTAGTGCTTAGAAATGACGTACACCATCCCTTGGCCTCTCAACCTGAATCTCCCCCCTTGCCCTCCCTATTCTCTCCCCCCCATGCCCGCCCTACCTTCTCCTCCATGACTTGCTTCAGAGTAGACCGTGCAAGCGTCTCTCCCTCCCCCAGGCTCATGTCCTGTCCCACATGGTCACATGCCTTCCCTACCTTCTCATCCTGCATTCTCCCTCCTGTGCCTTCCCTACCTTCTCTCCTCTCGTGTGCCCTGCCTACCTTCTCTCCCCTCCCCTGCCCGCCCTACCTTCTCTTCCATGACTTGCTTCAGAGTGGACAGTGCAAGCGTCTCTGCCTCCTCCAGGCTCATGTCCTGCCACACATGACATGGTCACACACATGACATGGTCACACACATGACATGGTCACACACATGACATGGTCACACACATGACATGGTCACACACATGACATGGTCACACACATGACATGGTCACACACATGACATGGTCACACACATGACATGGTCACACACATGACATGGTCACACACATGGCATGGTCACACACATGACATGGTCACACACATGACATGGTCACACACATGACATGGTCACACACATGACATGGTCACACACATGACATGGTCACACACATGACATGGTCACACACATGACATGGTCACACACATGACATGGTCACACACATGACATGGTCACACACATGACATGGTCACACACATGACATGGTCACACACATGACATGGTCACACACATGACATGGTCACACACATGACATGGTCACACACATGACATGGTCACACACATGACATGGTCACACACATGGCATGGTCACACACATGACATGGTCACACACATGACATGGTCACACACATGACATGGTCACACACATGACATGGTCACACACATGACATGGTCACACACATGACATGGTCACACACATGACATGGTCACACACATGACATGGTCACACACATGACATGGTTACACACATGACATGGTCACACACATGACATGGTCACACACATGACATGATCACACACATGACATGGTTACACACATGACATGGTTACACACATGACATGGTTACACTTGACGTGGTTATGAGGTGACATGGTCACACAATTACATACTTGCACTTGCACAGCTACATGGATACAGTGTAACACACTTTACACATAACAGCGATTGCAATTTGTCTGGGAATGTTCATGTTGCAAACTTGTAGAAAATAGATGGTGACAACATATTGTGTGTTACAACGGAACCTGCGTTACATGGTAATGGTAAGGCTCCACAGCACGCACACCTTGATGTAGCTGTCCTGCAGGTTGGCCTGTGCGCCCTCAGTGCCAGCCCCAATGGCCTTGACGTCATAAAGAGCTCTCACACAGGATCCCTTGCTGTTACATGGTAACAGTAACGAAAAACGATCCACAGCACGCACACCTTGTTGCAGCTGTCCTGTAGGTTGGCCTGCGCAGTCTCAGTACCAATGTCTTTGGCACCATAGAGAGCTTACAAAGGGCACTGGAGCACTCGCGAGTCGGCCTTGGCCATTTTTGCTACGACACGGTAACAAAACGAATAAAGGCTCACAGCTGGCACACACATACACAAACGCACACAGCACAGCGCACGCACCTTGTTGTAGCTGTCCTGCAGGTTGGCCTGTGCGCCCTCAGTGCCAGCCCCAATGGCCTTGGCATCGTAACGCACGAACGTGCCTGATGGATCCGTGTGGTACCTAAAATGTGCAAGAGTGAGGGGGTGGGGAGGTGTAGCAACGGCAGCCTAATGGATGGCAGCGAAACAAGTACCAGCCCCAATGGCCTTGGCATCGTAGCGCACGAACGTGCCTGATGGATCCGTGTGGTACCTGATGTGTGCAAGAGTGGGGGCGCAGGGGGAGGGGGTGGAGGAGGGGAGGGGGGGGAGAACATGTTGGGTGGGGGGTAATTCTCCCCCGATGGCCTTGGCATCGTAACGCATGAACGTGCTTGATGGATCCGTGTGGGACCTGGGTGACAACAAAAGAAGAAGACAACAACGCACATTTTCGTACGACAAAAATAAACGACCGACAAGGAATGTGCACGTGCACTTTATGCTTAAAAGCACGTTGGATAATTAAAGCATGTACATTGGCAGCTTATATGTGCACTGCATGGGCATGTCGAAGCACACATCTATCCACACCACAAGGGCACACTCATGTGCTATCCATGCAAACAGACACATGCATCCATATAGGCACAATGCGTACAGGTGACTCACATCGATGCACGTGTAAACAGTGATTTTTTTAGACGTCTAAAAAAACTGGCACATGCATCCTACTTTTAGGCACAATGCGTACAGGTGATACATACATCGATGCATATGCGCACATGACATGCAGGCACATGTATGTGTGCGCGGGTACATGCATGCATGCATGCATGGGGGCACACTTTCGAGTCGACTCAAAAGTCACCTCATGCATGGGGGCACACTACGCACGATGAAGGATTGTATTTGTAACTGCCAGCCCACCACATGATGTGTAAAGGCATATTCACTACAAGAACATGGCATGCACATGCACATGCACATGCACATGACAAGCATGCACATGCACATGACAGCATGCACATGCACATGACAGCATGCACATGCACATGACAAGCATGCACATGCACATGACAAGCATGCACATGCACATGACAAGCATGCACATGCACATGACAAGCATGCACATGGGCAGGTTACATGTACATGGCATGGCACCCTACTTACAGGCAAGGGCCGTATTTGTCGACTCCAGCAACTAGCAGAGCCACTCCAAATGGACGGCTCTGATGCACCCATCAATGGACGGGGAGGATTGAGGGACGGATAGGGAAGCACAGAATAAGGCTGTTGAGACAAGAATTACAGTGAGGAAGAGGAGACGTTAGACACACACAGAAGAGGTTGCTGAGACATTTGTAAAAATACAGCGAAAAAGAGGAGACGTTAGGTGAAGGCAACTTATAGATAAGCGAACTACAGTAGAAGAGTTTGTTATTCTATTTTAGACCAAAGAAGCATACCAGAAGTATCTCCGTCTCTAGTATTGGTTGATTGAAACAACCAGGTGTCCACACACGACTGGCTCGTGATAAAAGAAGTGGTTTGAGACGTCTCAAAGGTGTCCACTCCACACACGACCGGCTCTGCCCCTGACTATCTCCCCATGTTGCCGTCGTCCCCATCTCCCACCAGCACCAACTCACCATGCTGACGTCACCAACTCACTATGCTGTCGTCACGTCACCACCTTCTCGGAACTTAAGGGAGAAGTCATAGAGGGCCTGTGTGCACGACTCCACCAGCACGGCCCTTCCCTGCCCAGCCCACCCTTCCTTCCATACTGCCATATGACCACTGACTGGCAGATCCGTACTGCACCAGCTTCACCCACCAACTCACCATGCTGTCGCCACCAACTCACCATGCAGTCATTGCTCCCCTCTCCTAGCTTCAGGGAGAGGCAACAGAGAGCCTGAGTGCATGAATGCACCAGCACAGAAGGGCCTTTCACTGCCCAGCCCACCCAACCACCCCCCCCCCCACTGACTCATCCATACGGCATAAGCTTCACACACAAATCCACAAGCGACCGCGTCACCAACTCACTCACCATGCTGTCGTCACCAACTCACTCACCATGCTGTCGTCACCAACTCACTCACCATGCTGTCGTCACCAACTCACCATGCTGTCATCTCCCCCCTCTCCGAACTTCAACGAGAGGTCACAGAGAGCCTGCGTGCATGACTCCACCAGCATGGGCCTTCACTTCCCATCCATACTCCCACCCACTCACTCACCCATGCTGTCATGAAAGTTGAACCCCACCCACCAACTCACCATGCTGTCATCGCCCCCCTCCCCGAACTTCAACGAGAGGTCGCAGAGAGCCTGCGTGCCTGACTCCACCAGCATGGGCCTTCACTTCCCATCCATACTCCCACCCACTCACTCACCCATGCTGTCATGAAAGTTGAACCCCACCCACCAACTCACCATGCTGTCATCTCCCCCCTCTCCGAACTTCAACGAGAGGTCGCAGAGAGCCTGCGTGCATGACTCCACCAGCATGGGCCTTCACTTCCCATCCATACTCCCACCCACTCACTCACCCATGCTGTCATGAAAGTTGAACCCCACCCACCAACTCACCATGCTGTCATCGCCCCCCTCCCCGAACTTCAACGAGAGGTCGCAGAGAGCCTGTGTGCATGACTCCACCAGCATGGGCTCGTTGTATGAGAAGCGGTGCGACTGGGAGCAATACGAGGGGGTGAGGGGCGGTGGAGAGGGGTGAAGTGGGGTTCAGAGGAAATGAAAGCCTTTCCCAAACTGCAGGGACAGGTCACAGAGAGCCTGAGTGCATGACTCCACCAGCATGGGCTCGTTGTATGAGAAGCGGTGCGGCTGTGGGTGGTATGGGGTGAGGAGCGGTGGAGACGGGCGAAGTGGGGTTCAGAGGTAGTGAATGCCCTTTCTGAACTTCAAGGAGAGGTCGCAGAGAGCTTGAGTGCATGACTCCACCAGCAAGGGCTCGTTCTACGAGAAGCGGTGGGACTGGGAGGAGTGGAGAGAGGTGCAGATGGATGAAGAGGTAAGAGACGACGAGCAATGATTGCCAGAATGGGGCGACGCTGATGGGAAACACAGGCAGAATCAGCACGGCCCATCCAAGTCTGAATGATTTCAAGGTCGAGCAAAAGATTCAGCTAAGTCTGATTGCAGCATTGGTAAAGAAGAGTAAGACCATTCCCCGAAGTGAGGCTGATGAGTGAATCCTTACAAGGAGACTCCAAATCTGAATGCTGCCCACCTGAGTCTGAATGCGGCCGTGGTGGATGAGAGTGCGTGCATCTGCAGTGAGACCACTCATGGAGGCACAGATGTGCCTTTAAGGCGCCCCAACCACTCACCTGGGTCTCAATCATGCACAAATGTGTGTTTGAATGCTGCCCACCTGAGTCTGAATGCGGCCGTGGTGAATGAGAGTGCGTGCATCAGCTATGAGACCACTCATTGCTGCACCGATGTGCCTTTAAGGCGCCCCAACCACTCACCTGGGACTCAATCATGCACACCTACGTTTGAATGCGCCCCACCTGAGTCTGAATGCGGCCGTGGTGAATGAGAGTGCGTGCATCCGCTATGAGGCCACTCATGGCGGCACCAATGTGCCTTTGAGGCGCCCCAACCACTCACCTGGGTCTCAATCATGCACACCTGCGTTTGAATGCGGCCCACCTGAGTCTGAATGCGGCCGTGGTGAATGAGAGTGCGTGCATCAACTGTGAGACCACTCATGGCGGCACCAATGTGTGAATCCTCAAGCCGACTCAAAAGCCCAGTGCTGCCCACCTGAGTCTGAATGCGGCCGTGGTGGATGAGAGTGCGTGCATCAGCTGTGAGACCACTCATTGCTGCACCGATGTGCCTTTAAGGCGCCCCAACCACTCACCTGGGTCTCAATCATGCACACCTGCGTTTGAATGCGCCCCACCTGAGTCTGAATGCGGCCGTGGTGGATGAGAGTGCGTGCATCCGCTGTGAGTCCACTCATGGCAGCCCCGATGTGTGAGTCCACCTCCATTATCTTCTCCACACTGCGCGGCTCCTACAGGGCCAAACCGCACAGCACCACGCAGCACCACACAGAACCACACAGCAACACACAGCACATGCACGCAAGGCAGGGCACAGTGAGATCGAACATGGGGGGTACCAATGCGTGAATCCACCTCCATGGCCTTCTCCACACTGCGAGGCTCCTGCACACTCTCTCACCGTACAGCACCACACAGAACCACAAAGCATATGCAAAGAAAGAGGTACACATGTGAGATGAGGGACCACAAGAGCGCCAGCAGATCCACGGACATTCTTCCAGTGAGCAGCACTTGCATCGGAGTAGGTCAGAAAAAGGCACACATGTGAGATGAGGGACCACAAGAGCGCCAGCACCACTCCTTCCCTCCACTACCAATCATTCCCTCCATCTCCACTCCCGTCTTAACCTAAATGTACATGCCCTAGATAGAAGTCTTTTGAGTCGACTCAAAAGTTACTCCCATCTTAACCTAAATGTACATGCCATACATAGAGCAGGGGCTTGAAAAGCGACAGCTGGTGCTTCGAAGGTGCGCAATTGGTGTGAGAACTTATTACGATCGCACAAAATAGAGCCATACCAGCAGCGGCGAGGTTATTCTCTTTTCCACCGCCAGCACCACGCCCTCCTTGGTCTGAATGCCCACCGCTGTTGACCCCAGCTGTCGTTCGTGCAAGGCCACAGAAAGAGGACGTGTGAGATAGTATGACACGTGGTGACCGTGAGATGACATTACATGACACGTCACGAGACACTACATGAGATGGCATGAAACGGCCTGACATGACATGACACGACCAGAAACAGGGGGAAATGAACGGTCTGACATGGAACAAGGAAATCAATAAGGCAGAGAACGTGCGGTCGTCTGCAAGTTCCCATTCATCCATCAATACCACATAGTCACACAAATTACATGGTGTGAAGAGCAGGAAGTGGCTCCGGAAGGCACTAGTAAGGATTAGATTCGGGCTATACCCTGGGATGACTAGGATGATCACCATTGCCATGAACAGGATCGAATCTGGACCGATGGCACGCTTACCTTGATGGCCTCGATGGCATACTCCACTTGGAACAGCCGTCCCTCGGGCGAAATAGCAGCATCCTTGATGCATCTCTCCTCATTCACTATCAACAGACTCGCTATTAGGGAGCAGACACGCGCGTACCTTGATGGCCTCGATGGCGCATTTCATTTGGAACAACCGCCCCTCAAGGGGATCGGGGTGTCCCCTAGGAACAGATTCTAGAAGGCATGAGCACGCGCGTACCTTGATGGCCTCGATCGCATAGTCCACTTAGAACAGCCGTCCCTCAAACAAGAGGGGACTGCCCTGTCACGCCTTTCTCACTCAGAATCGGGAGACTTGACTCAGAAAACAAACACGCGCGTACCTTGATGGCTTCGATGGCATACTCCACTTGGAACAGCCGCCCCTCGGGCGAGAACGTGCTCACTCCCCGATCGTACTCGCTCCTGCCAGAAGTTACATCGGACGCGTACGCAGGTTAGTGTGCGTGTACGGTATCAGTACGTATGAAGGACTAGTTTTGCCTGGAACGAACGAAATCGAAATTAGGGTGGTAGATATAAAAACGAGCCGTCAAATACTGGGCCCGCGCATCCCTTGCTTACGAAATGGATGCATCGCAGGCTGGTTACTCAGCTCGCGATGGTTACCACCGTTACTACTGAATCGCGAAGAAGTAACCGTGAATCACGAATCGAGTGAACTGACTTTGAGCCCTGGTTGGTGGCTCGTGCTAAAGCTCGACTAACTGAATTAAATATGACCAGTCAAGGAACTCAGATCACGTCACGTGAGTCGTTGTAACGGAAACATGCATCGGTCATTGTCACACAGACTTCAAAAAGACGCATCTGCGCGTACTAAGACATGCCAGGAAGACCGTATTTCGGGAGCATGGTTACTGAAAAGTAAACGATTGTCTTCGGTAAAGTTTCCAGCGATTCGCGAGGAGTACATGCACCTTCGATCACGAAATTCAAAGCTGGAATCTGCTAAAGCGGGCGATTCGCGAACATCGATCGAAAGCGACTCAGATCGAAAGCGACTCAAATATAATCTGAAAGCCCGCATGAATTCTGGCTAGTGTGATGACATAAAGTCGTTACCTCGTAAGAAACATGGTGGCGATTTGTCAGAGGGAGCTGAGTAATCGACGTCGAACGACGACAAGAGGGGAATAGGGGAGCTGGGCGTAGCAAGACCGCACAGCGTCGTGATAGGATTTATGTAGATTTGACCTGCGTGAACGAACAATGGCTGCTGAGTGTGAGACGCAAGAGGAATTCATGAGATCAAAGAATGTGGCGAAAGGTGGAGGTGCAGTTTGGCAAAGGGGATTGTTAAGAGCGCGGCACCATTGTTCCGCTTGATGGTTCGAACCACCGACGGTTCGGACTGCGGGCTGGTAACAGGTGTCGTCTGAAGTCGCCAGTAAGTTCGTCAAACTCTATACGACGTCAGAAGTCGCCTGTAAGTTCGCATTGCGTCGCATTGCTTCCGTGCGACGTCGCCGTAGGTCGCAGTCCGACGGACTGCGTCGCACAAGGTTCGAACTTAAGCATGTGGTAAAATGGTTCTACCCCCTGATGTACTTGACTGGGGTAGGCTCGGGTTTCGCTAAAAAAACAGAGTTTTATGTATGATAATTGGAGGTTAGCTGCACAGTCGGTTTGTGATAAATTCATAAATGCTTTAATTTGGTTTTACTGTAAAGTGCTCAACCAAGTTCTAAGACAGACGGCCTTGTCTTTAATGAGGTTGCCTTTAACGAGAGCATGTCACGAGGGACCTAGCTGTTACCGAGGTCCCTTGTGCAGTGATCACGTTTGCTCACAAGCTAGCCCAGAACTAGCAGCCAGGAGTAGGGGAACTGAAGACTGACCAGAGCTGACTTACAGCCAGAAGAACCAGTCTCGAGGGCCTGAGAGAGAAACAAATAAGGGACTGCGATGCGGCACGCATTGGATCCGAGGACGACTCTCACACAAGCTGACAAGTTTCCTGCCAAAGGGTCTGTTTTTTTTAGCACTCGTTAAACGGTGCCGTTTACTTCGTCAGCTCCCCAGCAAAATCCGTGTCAGTATCTGCGGCCGCAAGTAGAGTTAGTACTTCGCTAATTAGACATCTCTAGAGCCGAAACATTCGCACTGAGCCCCAGTCAGGATTAGCGGAGCATATGCTGAGTACCACTGGTCGCCAATATTCGCTCGTCACCCACTTCAGCGGCACCTGACATGAGCTGCCTTGGGAATACCAGAACGGTCAGAACGGCCAGTTGATCTTTGGTAGACACGTGACCAACTCGATTCGGGCAACGCTGACGTGACCTGACGGAATCTGACGTCATCGGACGTGGTACTGACGTGGTCTGGCGGGTGCTGACGTCGTTTGACCGAGGACGAGCGTTGGATTGACTGGAGCTTGAGAGCAATGGATCCCGTTGTCATGGATTGTGGATCAGGCACGTTCAAAGCTGGTTACGCCAACCCCGATGCCGACCCTCCTGTGGTGAGCGCATCTTGAGGATTAAGGCCGGGAAAAATATATCGCATGTGCATAGACTGCGGGTTAGGCACGTTCAAATCAAAGCTGGCTACGCCAACCCCGATGCCGACCCCCCTGTGGTGAGTGCATGTGAGGATTAGGTCGAAACAAATGGCTCGAATGGTCAGGGATTGCGGGTCAGGGCTATTCAAGGCTGGCTACGCCAGCCCCGACGCCGACCCGCCTGTGGTGAGTCCATCTGGGTGCGTCTCAGAATGGGAGAATTGGCATGAGCAATGCTAACTTCGTTTCGATTACTAAGCTTGAAGCTTCGGCTGAAAATGTTATTCCGACTTTGATCCTGGATGGTGGGTCAGATACTTGCCAGGCTGGACCCTGAAGGCTGAAGCTGACCCCCCTGTATTCCTCTGTATTCCTCTGTATGCCTCTGTGTGCCTCTGTATCCCTATATATGCCACCCTATGCCTCTGTATGTCTCTGTGTGCCTCTGTATGGTCTTGCGTGTGTCCATATGTATCCTTGATTCAGATAATCCCAAATCGCTTTGTAGAAGCACCAGGAGAGCGCCCATCCAGTAACGGGGCCAGCACGAACGAATCCGGGGCAGCAGCAGGGCGCGTGGTGGGGGGCGTGGAGCGAGGGCGGGTGGTGGAGTGGGGGGTGATGGAGGACGCATGGCGATACATGCTGTACGAACAGATGGGGTGGGAGGAGGGCGGCGAGGGGGCCGTGCTGCTGTGCGAGCCCATTCTCACCCCGCGAGTGAGTTTCGCTTGTGTGGGATGTAGATTTGAGGCATCTCAAAACTCAGTCCCAGAGGCTTCTCAGCACTCTTCCTTCTCACCCCAAGTGTGGGCCACACTTTCGACTGAGATGTTTATCCCTTCAGCTGCCGCAAACGTCCCTCCCTCTGTCCTGTTATCCTTCTTTGTCCATCTCGTTCTCTCTTCCCCATTCGTCACCTCCGTTTCTTTCCTGCATTCCCCTCCTCCATTCCCCACCTTGTCCCTCTCGTCTCCCTTTTTACTCCGTATCTTACCCCTTTTCCCATGTCCCTCCTGCCTCCTCTCCCCAGGCTGACAGGAAGCAAGCAGCGCAGATCCTATTTGAGTCATCCAGCTGTTTGGTCCTTTTCGCAGCAGAGCAGAGCAGATGCCCCGTTTTCCAGTGCACTCCGACATCCTCCTCCCTTTTCTCTCTCGCCCTTTTCCCTTCTGCTCTCCCCTTCTGATTCCAGGCGGACAGGGAGCAAGCAGCACAGATCCTCTTTGAGTCATTCAGTTGGTCCGGTCATTCAGCTGTGCGGGTTTCTTTGCAGCAGAGCAGCCTGCCCTTCCCACCTTCCTCTTGATGTCCCTTCTCACTTGTTTCTTTCCCTCCCTGCCTCTCTCCCTTCCGCCCAATCCAGGCGGACAGGGAGCAAGCAGCGCAGATCCTCTTTGAGTCATTCAGCTGGTCCGGTCATTCAGCTGTGCGGGTTTCTTTGCAGCAGAGCAGCCTGCCCTTCCCACCTTCCTCTTGATGTCCCTTCTCACTTGTTTCTTTCCCTCCCTGCCTCTCTCCCTTCCGCCCAATCCAGGCGGACAGGGAGCAAGCAGCGCAGATCCTCTTTGAGTCCTTCAGCTGTTCGGGTTTCTTTGCAGCGGAGCAGCCAGTGCTGGCGCTCTATGCCCTCGGCCGCCTCTCCGGCTGCTGTGTGGATCTGGGCCATGGCAAAACAGGTCAGAGGAGGCGCCTTATAATGGGGAAGTTTGGTAACCAGGGTGACTGACCTAACCCTAAACGCTAAAGCCAAACAGGTTGCTGTACAGCGGAGCAGCCAGTGCTGGCGCTCTATGCTCTCGGCCGCCTCTCCGGCTGTTGTGTCGACCTGGGCCATGGGAAAACAGGTCAGCGGGGATGCCTTATAACAGGGATAACTTCTGTAGGGCCCTCTATGCCCTTGGGCGCCCCTCAGGCTGCTCCGTCGACCTGGGCCGTGGCCGAACAGGTCAGACGCTTTATAACGGGGAAGATTGGCCTTATAACGGGAGTGACTGACTTTAAAGAGGTTGTTGGTACAGCAGAGCAGCCAGTGCTGGCGCTCTATGCTCTCGGACGGCTCTCCGGCTGCTGCGTCGACCTGGGCCATGGCAAGACAGGTCAGAGACGGCTGTTGCAGCTCCTTATAACGAGGATGACTGCCTTTTAACGGGGATGACATCCTTATAACGGGGAAGACTGCTTCAGAGTGCTGTATGCTATGCCTCGGGCATCTCTCCTGCTGTGAGCTGCTGTGTGGACCTGGGCCATCCCAGCCGGGACTGGTCACAGGAGAGTTGCCCGAGGGCATAGCATACAGCACAGGGGGTTGCTGCAACTCCTTACACTACACAGGGGTTTACCGTCTTGTAACGTGGATGCTTGCCATGTGACGCCTTATGTTGGGGATCTCCTCCTTACCCTTCTCCCTTGTTTCTTCTCCGCCTCACCCTTCACTTCCCTTTCTTCGCCACACCTTGCTTCACCACACCTTTCTTCGCCACACCTTTCTTCGCCACACCTTTCTTCGCCACACCTTTCTTCTGTTCTTCATCACTCCGTCCTCACACTTCTTCTCACCTTTCTCCTCACACTTCTCACCTTCCTCCTCACACTTCTCACCTTCCTCCTCACACTTCTCACCTTCCTCCTCACACTTCTCACCCCTCAGAATTCTTGACACTAGCCACCTTTCCACTCGAATCTAGCCACGCTCATTATGAAATTCTCTTTCTCTATCCCTCCCCACCATCTCGTTCCATCACCTCTTCTCCCCCCCCCCTCCACCTCTTCTCCCATCTCCCTCTCCCACCTCTCCAGATTTCTCAGTGGTGCAGGAAGGAGCGTTGGTCCCCTCCTCTGCTCGCCGCTGGCCAGTCGGCGGCTGCGATCTTTCTGACCGAATCCAACGGCTGGTATTGGAGGAGAGGCAGAGGGGGGGAGGAGCAGGCGCGGGAGGGGAAGGAGCTGAGAGGGATGCACTGACACGTGGCAGTCCCTCATTGGACGCTGCTGCGTTGGAGAGACTGAAGGAGGACGCTTGTGAGGTGGCTCTGGACGAGAATAGCTTTGCAGCTGCCCGGGCTGGTGACGAGAGGAAAGAGTTTGTGCTGCCCGACGGGCAGGTCAGTTCTTTTTTGTGTGCATTGCATTTTAATGCTTTCCATTGGGAAAGGTTATTTATGAGACTGGGAAACGACTGGGCGTTGCAAGAGCCCTCCTACACAACCTCTCGATCTCTAGATTTACAGAAGCGCTCCTCTCACCCTTCCTTGCACCCCTCCTCCGACCCCTCCTCTTATCCTCCTCCCACCCATCCCTCCTCAGACACACTCTCTCCTCTCACTCACTCACCTCTCCCACTCGCTTCTCCGCTCGCCTTTCGCCTCGTGGTCCCCTCTTTTCCCCGTTAAAAGGCTCGATACTGCAGAGCTTCTCTTCAGGCCGTTCCTCCTCGCCCACACGGTTCCCCCATTCGCCCCATGGCCTTTTCTCTTCCGTCCCCTCCCTTGCCCGCGCATCTTCCTCGGCAGTGGTCGATTCAACATTGGAGAGGCTCTCTTCAGACCCTCCCACAACACATTTCCCTGACGCGCCCCTTCCCCTTCCCCTTCCCCTTCCCCTTCCCCTTCCCCTTCCCCTTCCCCTTCCCTTTTGGGTTGGGCCCCTTCCCCTTCCCCATCCCCTTGCTTCCTTCCCTCTCCCATTTCAGCGCATCACCCTCGGCAGTGAACGATTCGAAGTTGCAGAAGCCCTCTTCAGACCCTCTCTCCTCGCCCACAACTCACTTCTCTCACCGCCCTCCCTGGAGGCCTCCCCATTGGCCGGTCCCGACTCGGCCGGCATCGTTCGGCAGCTTCTGAGTGTGGTGTTCGACGCAGCAGGGCTAGGAGTGGGAGGGGGAGGGGGCGGCGGAGGAGGAGGGGTAGGGGGAGGGATGGGGGGAGTGGGCGGGGGAGGAGGGCTGGGGGGAGGAGGGATGGGGGTGGAAGGGGGGAAGCAGCGGGCAGCTCTGGAGTCAATTGCAGTGGTGGGGGGAGGGTCGTGTGTCAAAGGGTTGGTGGATCGGTTTCAGAGTGAAGTGCAGATGGCAGTGTCTCCCTCCCTGCAGCCCACCGTTGTGCGGGTGAGTGGGTTGAGGGGAGGCTGAGGGCCGGTGATTGAGTCGGTGGGTGAGTGGGTGGTTGAGTGGGTGGGTGAGTGGGTGAGTGGGTGGGTGGGTGGGTGAGTGTGTGGGTGGATAAGTGGGTGGTTGAGTGGAGTGAGGGAATTGAGTGGGTTCCAGTGGGGTATGGAGAGGTAAGTAATATCTATCTGCAATGTGAAGTGCACGAAGGCACTGTCTCAATTGTTTTGTAAAGGGGTGTGTGTGGCCGAGCGGTGCGGCACATGTGTTTGTCACCACAGGAGCCATCATCTTTAGAACCTTCCATAACCCATGTCCACTCCAGCTTCATCTCTCAACTTCTTTCCACCAAGCATTCAACTTCATTTTTCCAAGCTTATCAATAATTTAATAAATATACGTATATATATACATAAATAATTGAATCAATATACGTATACATATATATATAATAAATGAATAAATATACGTATATATATGTATATATATATATTCGCTGTAACTCATTGGCACTCCAATTCTGCTCCTCACTACCTCTCCCCCGGCTGTTCTCCTGGACCTTCAGGCACCTGACTACATGCCGGACAACACCGCCCGCTACGCCTCGTGGTACGGAGGGGCCATAGTGGCTCGCATCGTGTTCTCACAGAACCAGCATGTCACTCGCGCAGAGTACAATGAGAGGGGGCCTGCTGCTGTGCACCGCAAAAGCATGTGACTGTAAATGATTCGCAAGGGTCTCTTGTCTTTCACTTTTTTTCTTTTTCCACCTCCTTTCTTGCCACAAGCTAGCCCCAATTCATTCCTCTTAAACATTAAGGGTTCCCTTGCAACGATTGTCTTGTGCATTTTTCATTAAATGCAATTGTAAGCCCATGCAAGCAAGCAGTACTAAGGTTTTTGGTATGTACATAGAGCTTGCTAGCTGCAAGGAACACTTTTTTTTTTTTTTTTGAAGTTCCAAATTCAGTTTGGAGCTGTTTGGCGAAAAAATGCATTCCCGGAGGTTACGAATAGTGATTATTGAAACACTACTGTGCACTCATCACCGCAGCAAGCGAAGCACGCACTACCGAGGCTGAAGACGAAAGGGCGGAAGCAACGCGAAAGGTCGCACAGTTACGAAAGGATCTGGACCGTCGGGCAGACAGCATCAGGCAGCAGCAGTGGCGAGGATTCTGCCCTGTCAACCCAAACCAACACAAAACACCCATACGTGCCCTTGTTGAATGAGCCTAATTTTTTTTACCAACACTGATTGATAAAAAAAAAAAAAAAAACACCAACCCCGATTTTCCAGCGTTTTTTTTACGCTAATGATTTTTTTTTTCACTACTGATACTGAAAAAAAAACATGGCCCAAAACCAATCTGAGGGCCTGTTGAACGCATTCTTGTAATTCTTGATAATCAGTGTATTTTCCCGCAAAGAGGCGTTATAGTATAGATGTACATGCATTTATTGCGTCGAACACTTCCACCCGCTGGGAGAAATTGTTTAACATCCCCGTTTGCTAGTTTTCGATTTCAACGGGCAATGTATTTTAAAGTGCATCGCTTCGCGCTCGCGCCCACTTCCCACAGGCAGATTGTTTTCTGAATACACGTTTCTTGGGGAAAACAAAATAGACCCTTAAGGGAAAGGCATGCAAACAGGAGACGCATCAACCCTAAACACCTCGCCGCATGGTGTTTAGGGTTGATGCCGCCCAGGCTGACATGCCTTTCCCAAGAGGGTTTATTGTTTTTGCCCCAGAAAATAACTTAGAATGTGTATTGAGGGACTCGAACTGCCCTTGGGAATTGGGCGCGAGCCCGAAATGCTGCTCTGTCAAAACCACTGCCCATTCGAATTGAAAACTAGAAAATAGGGCGATTCGTCATTTCCTCACCCGCTGGCCTCGAAAAGCTCGAGGAGTTGTCTCTTCACGTTCCCAGCGACTCAGTTGCCTATTCGGAGACTCGAAGGAGAGCAGGTCAATTTCAATGTGGGTGCAAGAGTCGGATCGGGAGTCACAGTCACAACAGAAGAGGCAGCCCAATCAGCGTCGTTTTTAGTGAATACACGTTACATGTTGCGGTTATACTCCCTAGGACGTTCTGTTTAGGCAGAGTTACCGGGTGTCGACTACGTAGCAGAATAGCAAAGTTCGTTTATCGCGATCCCGTGCAAGCTGTTTCTGGCGTTCGACATGCAAGAGTGGTGGTATCGCCGATCGCGCTGCCCTGTGCGTGGGGAGGGAGCTCGACGACCCTGAGAATGCAACGCGTCCTAGGGCCACAGCAGTGGGCTGTTACACAATTGGAGTCCACTCAGAAGTTGTCTTGGGGAGTACTGCGATGAATGAGGCTTCTGGATTTCCGTCTTTCAATCCATGTCTCATTTCGGCGGCCATGAGTCACCATCATGGCCCTCGTGATGACTTTCAAGTTTAATCGAAAGCCAGCGGCCATGACACTCAGCGAAGAGTGGTGTCTCAAAATGACGCGTCGTGCTGTCCTCTCGCCAGGTTGAGGTGTTATCTGTTCCTCTTGCACCCTCTTTTCCCTACACTGGGGCTGCTTCTCTCGCCCTATCTCCTCCAGCCGCCCCTTCCATTTGTCTTCCCAGAAGCTTGTGTGTAAAATAGTCACTTGAGATGAGGACTATGATACAGTCAACACTTTTTACGACTGTCCTTCTTCCTTGAAGGAAGCACATTCGTTGATTCACCGGCGGCGCCAGTCAAGCTTCCCCGTCAGGCTCCTTCACTATAAGTTATCCCAGTCCTCGCGCATTGCTGACGTGGACGTTTTTCCAGCTCAATTAACGAGCTCGGAGCCGTCACGTTTTCCACGTCGGTGGAAGTTTAGTGGCGGTAAACCGTTTTCCGCGGTGTAGGCATTTGACACAGCGACGCGACTCGTTTCTGTGCCTTTCGAATGGCGTTTAACGGGAACAATTATGAGGCGACCGGCGGGAGACGTCACGAGGGCTGCGAGATGCGAGTGATGTTACAAAATTCGCCAAAATTCGAAACCCTAGTGAAGGATGACGTCGAGCGTTCCGAACTCGAACAGCCGCCGCAAGACTGGCAGCAAAACCCGCAGCACGACCCGCAGCATGATCGACTCGGAGTCTCGCCACAGCAGCGAGTGGTCATTCCACAAGAATCTCTTAAAGCCGAACTAGTCGACGCTGTAGCTCCGATCAGGGCACTCCTAGACATCGACGACGACCATTTCCCTTCGCGCGAATCTCGGAGCGCATTTCGTAGCGAAGGATGCGGATCTTATTTGGAGCGCGTCAGGCGCGCGCTCTTCCACGTGTTCCCGATCCTGCAGTGGCTGTCGGAGTACCAGCTGACGTGGCTTCCTGGTGACGTGGTCGCTGGGTTCACTATCACCAGCCTCGCCATCCCTCAGGTAGCATGCTAACCCCTGGCTGTCACAAAACAACCGCTTGATTTCACACATTAACCGCTTGCTGTCACGCACTACTAGTCGCCGGCTTCACTATCACTAGTCTCGCCATCCCCCAGGTAGCATGCTAACCACTTGCTGTCGCTCTTCCTGTGCTGTTGAGGCGCCTCAGAAGTGCTCTGCCCTTTCTACTGAGGCGCCTCAAAAGTGCTCTCTTTGTGCTGTTTCAGAGATTAACACGTCCCTTGGTGTCTCTCCCCGTCCCTCCTCTGCCATTGCCAGGACCTGGGATACGCGCAACTGGCGCACGTGCCTCCAATCAACGGGTGCTGCACTCCTGCTTCGGAGCTTGATACGTCACTCAGTCTCTCTCCCTCCACCTCCGTGTTACTCTCCCCATCCCTCCTCTGCCATTGCCAGGACCTGGGATACGCGCAACTGGCGCACGTGCCTCCATTTCACGGGTGCTGCTCTCCCCGTGCCGGTTCAGAGATCAACACGCCATTTGGTTCCAAATTCAACACCTCTGTGCCACTCTCCCCATCCCTCCTCTGCCATTGGCAGGACCTAGGATACGCGCCACTGGCGCACGTGCCTCCTATCAACGGGTGCTGTTCTCCCCCATCCCTCCTCCCCCCATCCCTCCTCTCCCCCATCCCTCCTCTCCCCCATCCCTCCTCTCCTCTCTACAGGACCTAGGATACGCGCAACTGGCGCACGTGCCTCCTATCAACGGCCTTTGTACGTCACTCCCTCGTTCTCCTCCCCTGCCGCCCACCTCTCCTCTCCTGCCGCTCACCTCTCCTCCCCTGCCGCCCACCTCTCCTCCCCTGTCGCCCACCTCTCCTCCCCTGCCGCCCATCTCTCCTCCCCTGCCGCTCACCTCTCCTGCACTCTCCTTGGCCCCTCCCTTCCCGTGTTTGAAACGTCCCAAACAAAGCCACTCTCATACTTACCCCCCTTTTCAACTCCTTTTCCCCTTAGCCCACTCGGTTTCCTGCGACGAGTTTTGAGTCGACTCAATAATAATCTTCCTGCCCATTTTCAACTCCGTTTTCCTAGCTCCACTCTCTTTCCGTTACTTCCCCACCCGTTTTCAACTCCTGACTTCCCTTCCCCGTCTCTACCTTGTGAGGGGCCTTCAAACTCACCCTGCCATATGCCAAGGGCTTGCGTCAGGATTGCAAGCCCCATCATTTAGTCTCACTCTCCTGATACAATGCAGACCTTTGGCTGCGATCAAAATTCACAACTCCAACTCGTTCCCCCAACTCATTTTCCCTACTCAAACCCCCAACTCGTTTTCCCGACTCAAATTTCCACCTCATTTCCTGTCTCAAACCAGACATGGCGAGGAAAAAAACTCGCCTCGTTTTTGTTACTCGTTTTGGCCAAGTAACGAGTCAGCGTTTTCCACGTTTTTACTGGCACGAGTCGAGGCGAGTTATACTCTCGATTAAACAAGTACACGGTTTTACTCGTTTTAGAAAGCCAGCAAAGAGTACTCGTGAGGGTGAGGAGGAAAGGGGGGGGGGGGGAAGGTGAGGAGAAACTCAAAACGAGGCGAGTATTACTTGTTCCAAAACGAGTATTGTTTTTCTCCTTGCGAGTAAAAATACTTGTTATTTCTAACGAGTATCGAGTCGTGACTAGGGGTGAAATTACTCGTACGAGTAATACTCGACTCGACTCGTTTACAAAACGAGAAACTCCAAAACGAGGCGAGTAATACTCGACTCGTCCATTGCTCATGCCTAACTCAAACCCCTCAACTCATTTCCCCACTCAAAACCCCAACTCACACCCCCTACTTCAAACCCCAACCAGACGGCAGCTTCATTCCCCCAACCGTCTATGCCATCTTCGGCACATCCCGCCACATGGCCATAGCACCAGTCGCCATCGTCTCGCTCCTCATGGGAGAACTCCTCTCCACCCATTACAACCCCGAGTCCCAGCCCACCCAGTACCTCCGCCTTGCGTTCACATCCACCTTCTTCGCGGGGGTGTTTCAACTGGCTATGGGGCTGCTGCGGCTGGGGTTTGTTGTTGATCTGCTGTGCCACCCGGTGGTTGTGGGGTTCATGGGGGGTGCGGCGGTGACGATTGGGCTGCAGCAGCTGAAGGGGCTGCTGGGGTATGCGACTTTCACGACTAAAGCGAACGTGCAATCTGTGTTGGGTTATGTCTTCAACAACACGTACCTGGTGAGTCTGGCATACCTGGTGAGTCTGGCGTACCTGGTGAGTCCGGCACACCTGGTGAGTCCGGCACACCTGGTGAGTCCGGCACACCTGGTGAGTCCGGCAGACCTGGTGAGTCCGGCACACGTGGTGAGTCGGGCACACCTGGTGAGTCCGGCACACGTGGTGAGTCGGGCACACCTGGTGAGTCTGGCGTACCTGGTGAGTCCGGCACACCTGGTGAGTCCGGCACACCTGGTGAGTCCGGCACACCTGGTGAGTCCGGCACACCTGGTGAGTCCGGCACACCTGGTGAGTCCGGCACACGTGGTGAGTCGGGCACACCTGGTGAGTTCGGCACACCTGGTGAGTCCGGCACACGTGGTGAGTCGGGCACACCTGGTGAGTCGGGCACACCTGGTGAGTCGGGCACACCTGGTGAGTCTGGCACACCTGGTGAGTCCAGCACACGTGGTGAGTCCGGCACACCAGGTGAGTCGGGCACACGTGGTGAGTCGGGCACACCTGGTGAGTCGGGCACACCTGGTGAGTCGGGCACACCTGGTGAGTCGGGCACACCTGGTGCGTCGGGCACACCTGGTGAGTCGGGCACACCTGGTGAGTCGGGCACACCTGGTGAGTCGGGCACACCTGGTGAGTCGGGCACACCTGGTGAGTCGGCCACACCTTGTGAGTCGGGCATACCTGGTGAGTCTGGTACACCTGGTGAGTCTGGCACACCTGGTGAGTCGGGCACACCTGGTGAGTCGGGCACACCTGGTGAGTCAGGCACACCTGGTGTGTCGAGCACACCTGGTGAGTCGGGCACACCTGGTGAGTCGGGCACACCTGGTGAGTCGGGCACACCTGGTGAGTCTGCCACACCTGGTGAGTCGGGCACACCTGGTGAGTCGGGCACACCTGGTGAGTCGGGCACACCTGGTGAGTCGAGCACACCTGGTGAGTCGGGCACATCTGGTGAGACTGGCACACCTGGTGCTGGGAAAACAAGTGCCTCCATTCTACCGTCCCCTCCCCTCCCATCCCATTCCTTTCCCTCCCCCCCCTCCTTGCACAGTTCAACTGGCGTGCATTTGTCATCGGCATGGCGGTGCTTCTCTTCCTCCTCTCGCTCCGCTTCTTGGTACGCCCCGCCACTTGACCCGCCACTGTTAAGTCGAGATGCATTTTGATTTGAGTAGCCTTCCAACATTCCCATCCCATCCCATCCCATTCCATCCCATCCCAACCGCTTCCCTCCTTGCCCTCTGTATATGATACTCCCATCCCTTTCCCTCCTCGCCCTCTGTGTGTGATACTCTCATCCACTTCCCTCCTCGCTTCTGCATGCACAGGCACACCGCGTGTCAAGCCCCACACCATGCTCGAGAAGCCGCTTTTCTACCTCGACTGCCCACCAGAACACCAAAACTCCCTCTTCCCATTTTCAATACTCCCCATCCATCCATCCCCTCCCCACACATGCATGCACAGGCCCACCATTTCAAGCCCCATCCGAGGCTCGGCAAGCCGCTCTTCTACCTCAACTGCCTCGGCCCGATCCTCGCAGTCACCGCCACCTCCCTCGCCGTCTACCTCCTGGGCGGCGGCAACAAGCCCCCCTACAACATCCCCACCGTCAAACCCCTGCCACCTGGCGTCGCCTCGTTCGGCTCGCTGACTCAGCTCCAGCTGTCGGGCCCTGATTGCGCGGCTGCTGCGTCCATAGGGATTGTCGCGGCGCTGATCGCTCTCGCGGAAGCGACTGCGATTGCGAGGATGTTTGCGACTTTGGAGGGTTACGAGGTGGATGGTAACCGCGAGATGATCGCTCTTGGCATGGCCAACATCGGAGGCTCCTTCTCCTCGACTTACGTGGTCACCGGGTCGTTTTCGCGTTCAGCTGTCAATTACAATTCTGGGGGGAAAACCGCGCTGACCAACGTGATTATGTCGGCGCTCGTTTTAATCACGCTCGTTGCAGTCACTCCTGCGTTTCAGTACCTCCCTACAGCCACCCTCTCAGCAATCATCATAGTTGCTGTCGCGGGATTGGTGGATTTCACAGCCATGGCCGTTATCCTTAAAACAGACAAGCTCGATTTTCTCATCACTCTAGGGACTGCCTTGGGGATTCTTTTTGTCTCCATGGAAATCGGACTCCTTATAGGCGTCCTCGTTTCAATGCTGAAGTTCTTCATACAGGTGGCGCGCCCGAAGCTGCCGACTCTGGGGCTTATAAAGGGTACGGGGGTGTACCGAAGTGTGGAGCAGTATGGGGATGCGGAGGAGGCGGAGGGGGTGTGGGTGATGAGGGTGGATGGGCCGCTGCTCTTCCCCTCTGCGAGCTATGTGCGGCAGCAGGTGTTGAGAGCGGTGGAGAGGAGTGCACGTGGTGACGAGAAGAGAATTACGGTGCGGTGTGTGTGTGTGTGTGTGTGTGTGTGTGTGTGTGTGTGTGTGTGTGTGAGTGTGCGTGCGTGCGTGCGTGCGTGCGTGCGTGCGTGCGTGCGTGCGTGCGTGCGTGCGTGCGTGCGTGCGGGTGGGGATACCACTACTCTCACACAACAGTCCACACTCAAAAGTTCCCTCCGGCACATGAGTAACCAGCACATGAGTAACCAGCACATGAGTAACTGCCATTCACACAATGGCGCTGATCTTTGAGTCAACATCATTGTCTCCTCCTTATTCTTCTCGCCTCTTCCCCGTTTGCATCTTTCTTTCCCTTCCTCACGGCAGCATGTGGTGCTGGATTGCACGTCAATAACCGACATCGACACAACAGCCATTCATGCTTTACAAGACCTGCTCAGCATGTTGCACCGTCACCAGGTGCAGCTGGTGCTGACCAATCCAGCCACTGTGCTGCTCCGAAAGCTAGCTCTTTCGGGGTTTGTGGAGGAGTTGGGTGAGGAGTGGCTGTTTTTCTCTGTTGCTAACGCAGTGGCGTTTTGCCAGTCAGTTGCGCAGAGCAACGGAGTGTGATTGTTGTTGTACAGTACAATCCAATGCATGTTACATGTATCGTATGTTTTTCCATGCATTGAAAATGCCAGTGTTGAGCATGTGGAGGTTGCATTCTGTGCCCAGGAGGCCTGCGCTCCATACAACAGACCTTCGATAAACAGCCTTTTTTTATGCAGTTGTGTATCTGCAGAGATAAAGTCAGAGCATACATCCATGCAGTTGCCATAGTCAGAGCATATGTGTAACGCTGCTGCTGCGGCTTTCACACCACTGCGGCTTTCATCCCATTCTTAGCTGCTGCTTGTCCCTGGTTGGGCTTCATCCCACGGCCCTTTGATAAACTGCTTTTCCTTGTGCATGTACACAAAGAGAACTGAGGAATACTAATGCCTCTATCAGCTGCTGCTGGTCCCTGGTTGAGCTTCATCCCACGGCCCTTTAATGGACTGCTTCTCCTTGTGCATGTACACAAAGAGAAGAACAGAGGAAGGCTAATCCCTCTTTTAACTGCTGCTGGTCCCCGGTTGCGCTTCATCCCACGGCCCTTTGATAAATTGCTTCTCCTTGTGCATGTATACAAAGAGAAGGGGAAACACGTAGGTAACCGCTGCCGCCGCCACCACCACCACCACTGCAAACCCCTTATGCCACGCCATCAGCACCGCCAGAGCCACCGCTTTCATCCCCCATACAAGCACGCGATGCGTTTGCGGATTAGCGCGCCGCCAGTGGTGCAGCAGCGAGGGCAGCAGGCTGAAAACGCTAAGAGCCAGCCACATAAACGCGTAGACTTGCGCCGTGGTGCTAAGCCGGGAAGCTAACAGCACCGATGCATAAATTGCAGACATTAACGATAAATTCCCAGAAAAGGAGAGTGTAGCTGCTGTAGAGTAATTATAATCGTGGAAGAAGAGGTGTAGGAGGAAGAGGAGGGTGGTACAGGAGGCTACAGTGTCTGAACTGATAGACTGAGTGAGAGTGTGGAGGATGGGGGAGAGGAGGTAGAGACCAAAAACGAATATGGAGCAATCGACGATCAAGCGAGGGAGGCGAGAGGCAGAGAGGAGATCGAGGAGGGTGGGAGGTGGGAGGGATAGGGATGGGGAGGGAGGTGTGGAGGAGGGAGGAGGCGTGGATTGTGGTGCGGATGGGTGCGTTTGCTGCTGCTGGTTCTGCTGCTGCTGCTGCAGGCGCTTGTGTCGCTGTAAGCGCAGGGAGGCGAGGGAGGAGAGCAGCACACCGGCAGCGAGGGAGAGCGAGTCGAGCAGGAAGAGAGTGCGGGCAGAGAGGCGGTGCGAGTCGAGGAAGAAATAGACGACGACTAGGGCTGACACTAGGAACATCTGGGGATGGGGGGAAGGGGGCAGAGGTATAATGAGGTGGGGTGTGTGTGCGTGTGTGTGTGTGATGGGAGAGCGAGTCGAGCAGGAAGAGAGTGCGGGCGGAGAGACGGTGCGAGTCGAGGAAGAAATAAACGACCACCAGAGCTGACACTAGGAACATCTGGGGATTGGGGGGAGAGAGTGTGCGCAGAGAAACGGTGCGAGTTGAAGAAGAGATAAGCAACCATGGGACGGAGCTGAGGTAGGAACATGTGGGAATTGGGGGGGAGGAGTGCGAGGAAAACAGCATGAACCAGAGAGGAGGTTGATGGGAGTTGAGAGAGGTAGAACGACGACCAGGGCGGAGAGGAGGGAGGAACTTCTGGGGATGGGGTGGAGGAATGGGAGGAAAATCCGGGGAAATCAGCGCGGGGTAGAGACACGGTGAGTAGTTGAGAATGAAACATGGCCAATGGGGCGCACTGTAGGGGTGCGGATGAGGAACATATGAGAATGGGAGGAGGAACAGGAGGGAAACAGCACGAAAAAGATGGTTGAGGTCCAGAAAGTTTCATGGGCACAGGGCAACAGTGTAGCTGACTTTGAGTCGACTCAAAAGTCAGCGATTTTCATGGGCACAGGGCATACAGTGTAGCTGACTTTGAGTCGACTCAAAAGTCAGCGATTTTCATGGGCACAGGGCAACAGTGTAGCTGACTTTGAGTCGACTCAAAAGTCAGCGATTTTCATGGGCACAGGGCAACAGTGTAGCTGACTTTGAGTCGACTCAAAAGTCAGCGATTTTCATGGGCACAGGGCAACAGTGTAGCTGACTTTGAGTCGACTCAAAAGTCAGCGATTTTCATGGGCACAGGGCATACAGTGTAGCTGACTTTGAGTCGACTCAAAAGTCAGCGATTTTCATGGGCACAGGGCAACAGTGTAGCTGACTTTGAGTCGACTCAAAAGTCAGCGATTTTCATGGGCACAGGGCAACAGTGTAGCTGACTTTGAGTCGACTCAAAAGTCAGCGATTTTCATGGGCACAGGGCAACAGTGTAGCTGACTTTGAGTCGACTCAAAAGTCAGCGATTTTCATGGGCACAGGGCAACAGTGTAGCTGACTTTGAGTCGACTCAAAAGTCAGCGATTTTCATGGGCACAGGGCAACAGTGTAGCTGACTTTGAGTCGACTCAAAAGTCAGCGATTTTCATGGGCACAGGGCAACAGTGTAGCTGACTTTGAGTCGACTCAAAAGTCAGCGATTTTCATGGGCACAGGGCAACAGTGTAGCTGACTTTGAGTCGACTCAAAAGTCAGCGATTTTCATGGGCACAGGGCAACAGTGTAGCTGACTTTGAGTCGACTCAAAAGTCAGCGATTTTCATGGGCACAGGGCAACAGTGTAGCTGACTTTGAGTCGACTCAAAAGTCAGCGATTTTCATGGGCACAGGGCAACAGTGTAGCTGACTTTGAGTCGACTCAAAAGTCAGCGATTTTCATGGGCACAGGGCAACAGTGTAGCTGACTTTGAGTCGACTCAAAAGTCAGCGATTTTCATGGGCACAGGGCAACAGTGTAGCTGACTTTGAGTCGACTCAAAAGTCAGCGATTTTCATGGGCACAGGGCAACAGTGTAGCTGACTTTGAGTCGACTCAAAAGTCAGCGATTTTCATGGGCACAGGGCCACAGTGTAGCTGACTTTGAGTCGACTCAAAAGTCAGCGATTTTCATGGGCACAGGGCAACAGTGTAGCTGACTTTGAGTCGACTCAAAATTCAGCGATTTTCATGGGCACAGGGCAACAGTGTAGCTGACTTTGAGTCGACTCAAAAGTCAGCGATTTTCATGGGCACAGGGCATACAGTGTAGCTGACTTTGAGTCGACTCAAAAGTCAGCGATTTTCATGGGCACAGGGCAACAGTGTAGCTGACTTTGAGTCGACTCAAAAGTCAGCGATTTTCATGGGCACAGGGCAACAGTGTAGCTGACTTTGAGTCGACTCAAAAGTCAGCGATTTTCATGGGCACAGGGCAACAGTGTAGCTGACTTTGAGTCGACTCAAAAGTCAGCGATTTTCATGGGCACAGGGCAACAGTGTAGCTGACTTTGAGTCGACTCAAAAGTCAGCGATTTTCATGGGCACAGGGCAACAGTGTAGCTGACTTTGAGTCGACTCAAAAGTCAGCGATTTTCATGGGCACAGGGCAACAGTGTAGCTGACTTTGAGTCGACTCAAAAGTCAGCGATTTTCATGGGCACAGGGCAACAGTGTAGCTGACTTTGAGTCGACTCAAAAGTCAGCGATTTTCATGGGCACAGGGCAACAGTGTAGCTGACTTTGAGTCGACTCAAAAGTCAGCGATTTTCATGGGCACAGGGCAACAGTGTAGCTGACTTTGAGTCGACTCAAAAGTCAGCGATTTTCATGGGCACAGGGCAACAGTGTAGCTGACTTTGAGTCGACTCAAAAGTCAGCGATTTTCATGGGCACAGGGCAACAGTGTAGCTGACTTTGAGTCGACTCAAAAGTCAGCGATTTTCATGGGCACAGGGCAACAGTGTAGCTGACTTTGAGTCGACTCAAAAGTCAGCGATTTTCATGGGCACAGGGCAACAGTGTAGCTGACTTTGAGTCGACTCAAAAGTCAGCGATTTTCATGGGCACAGGGCATACAGTGTAGCTGACTTTGAGTCGACTCAAAAGTCAGCGATTTTCATGGGCACAGGGCAACAGTGTAGCTGACTTTGAGTCGACTCAAAAGTCAGCGATTTTCATGGGCACAGGGCAACAGTGTAGCTGACTTTGAGTCGACTCAAAAGTCAGCGATTTTCATGGGCACAGGGCAACAGTGTAGCTGACTTTGAGTCGACTCAAAAGTCAGCGATTTTCATGGGCACAGGGCAACAGTGTAGCTGACTTTGAGTCGACTCAAAAGTCAGCGATTTTCATGGGCACAGGGCAACAGTGTAGCTGACTTTGAGTCGACTCAAAAGTCAGCGATTTTCATGGGCACAGGGCAACAGTGTAGCTGACTTTGAGTCGACTCAAAAGTCAGCGATTTTCATGGGCACAGGGCAACAGTGTAGCTGACTTTGAGTCGACTCAAAAGTCAGCGATTTTCATGGGCACAGGGCAACAGTGTAGCTGACTTTGAGTCGACTCAAAAGTCAGCGATTTTCATGGGCACAGGGCAACAGTGTAGCTGACTTTGAGTCGACTCAAAAGTCAGCGATTTTCATGGGCACAGGGCAACAGTGTAGCTGACTTTGAGTCGACTCAAAAGTCAGCGATTTTCATGGGCACAGGGCAACAGTGTAGCTGACTTTGAGTCGACTCAAAAGTCAGCGATTTTCATGGGCACAGGGCAACAGTGTAGCTGACTTTGAGTCGACTCAAAAGTCAGCGATTTTCATGGGCACAGGGCAACAGTGTAGCTGACTTTGAGTCGACTCAAAAGTCAGCGATTTTCATGGGCACAGGGCAACAGTGTAGCTGACTTTGAGTCGACTCAAAAGTCAGCGATTTTCATGGGCACAGGGCATACAGTGTAGCTGACTTTGAGTCGACTCAAAAGTCAGCGATTTTCATGGGCACAGGGCAACAGTGTAGCTGACTTTGAGTCGACTCAAAAGTCAGCGATTTTCATGGGCACAGGGCAACAGTGTAGCTGACTTTGAGTCGACTCAAA